TAAAATTCCAATAAAATGCCTAGAACTCTGGACAGAAGGTCTATGGGTACTTGTCCTTTCAGGGTTTCTCATACCTCACAAGGGTCTATCTTATGCACAGAGTCTGAACTCAAAAGCGATTTATCAGTTGCATCGGTCCCCTCGTTAGCTATTTTTATAATTGATTTATCATTTGGAAATTTGTCTTCTTCGAAGTGTTTCGAAGGAATCTCATACCTTTGATGCATTATTCTAGCACTTATATCACAAAAACTCTACACTTATGACATTAATATGTCATCCATGAAAATGTTGAGTATTTTTAGGAATAATGAGTGAGTGAGATTGAACGTATAAATACGTTCCTCACTTCAATATCAATAATCTCTGTAAACACTTATTTCAAGAGCATGTTGAACTTGATTTCAATGTTCAACAACATCATTTATGTTCATATGTTAGATTACGTAAATCAAAATATGATTGTTATACAGTAGAAAAAAAAACAAAAATAACAGTATTGAATTTTATTATTAAATGAGCTGTGTGATTTTCGTCAGAGAAAAATATGTACAATATAAGCTATACAAAACGAGAAGTTTATGACAGATCAGTACATATCTATGTCTAAATTAAAATTACTCTTCCGTAAAACTTTCTATAATACATAATTGAATTTTTATATCATCTTCGTAATCATCAACTCTATTTTTTTTTACTATTGATTCGGCTTATATAAATGGTAAAAACCGTATAATATTAATTGATACAAATTTAATGTATCCAATTGATTCGTCTATTAATTTTTATCAAAATTCTCATTGATAAACAAAAATATTAGTAGAAAAGTAAAAGAAAAATTCTAATAAAGAAAACTAATTCAATGAGATAAATCTTTTAATATTCAATGAACACATCTACTAAATCCTTAAAGCATTTAGGTATGAGCTAACAAGAAGAGCTCATCAGATTCACACCCCTCTGTTATCTTCTGTATTACAATTAAATATTAAATAAAACAAAATATAAATAAAGAAGAAAAGTAAAAAGATTGCTTTCGAGCAAAAGCAATAAATGATTCATTCGATTCATTCTCAAAAAAAAATTTACACGCACAACTTTCCACAGTATTTATCAGGTCATAATTATACAAAAATTGCAAGTTTAAAGTCTCTAATCGAAATGTATTTTTTCCTGTAAACGAACTTTTTCAATCATTCTTTTCTAACAGTAAAAAGGTCAAACATTGTTCCTATTTCATAAGTAAAAAGCAAAACAACTGGAATCTTTTATTCAAACTGATATTCATGTTGAAGAACAACAGTGTAGTGTCAGACCCAACAAGATATATGAAGAGATTAATATTAAAACAACATTCACTGAAATACTGATAAAGAATTCGTCTATTTGTGGATTTTACCAAAAGACTCGTTGTTTAACTTTACAAAAAATCTTTTATTAAAAGTCTTTTTATTAGTAGAAATTTCTCATAAAAATTATAAGGACGATATCATTTACTCGAAAGAGGTTTGCAATTTTCTTTAAATCTCTTCTATTTTCCATAGATTCACTTATACTTTCAAGCATAACAAAAAACCACGTATATATGTCTAATAAGAAAAAAAGATGTGATTCATTAATTTATTTATTATTGCTACTGAGATTTCTTTTATAGACTCAAATAATTAATCTATACATAATTTCATTTATGAAAATTCTGAGATATTTTTCAATGAACTCACAATAAAACTCTATATCTCACAAATACTCGATAAAAATATCAATTATCTTTAGAAAATCATAGAAAACGAATATTCGTCAGAATATGAATTCATCCTTAACGAGAAAATATTCCAATAAGTTATTCACCATGTTTTCTTTCTTTTTTTAGTGTAACGCCTCACTCTACACCTATAATCGAAATACAGAATACACCAACAACTGTATGATGGGAGATCTGAATAAAAACAAAATATACAATTTCTCAAGCAACTATAGTTTAATCATTTTCTAATAAAAAACTAACATCGAATTTTTATAAAAACTTAAATATCTACACTGAAAACAAAATGAAATTGTTGTATCTGTTGAATAATTTTTATACTAGAGAAATATAATGAGAAATACATGAAGACATTCATTGAATGCTCTACTGCTATTATTATTGTCTCTCTTAGAAAATACTTCATTTCATTCTAATTAAATGGCATTATCTCATAGAGAGTACTTTGTCAGGTAACTAAAAACAGTTACCACTTTCATTTCTACAATGTCAAAATACTCATTAATAATTCAATTAAGAAAGTGGAACATATAAAGGCAATAACATTCATTATATCTAAACGAAAAATGCCTCGTTTTTGTACTAATACTTTGTCTGATATACAGTTTCGCATAAAAATCTAGAAATAATATTACTTTTACATTACAGTTGTTTGTTCAAAATGTTTATAATGATGAATTTTGTTTTCATCGATAAATCTTGAAAATTTACAGAATACAAATATGATATACTCTATCATCAGAAGACTATTTTGAGATGAATTCATAGCTGTTTATATATTCATTACTATATCGATAAATATGACAATATAAGTGAATACACATCATTCATAGTTTGTTATGTACAAGTTGATACATTCTGGACGAAAATTAGATAAATCCTGAGAAGCACTATATTCTAATGAAAATAAAATTTAGTAACGATGAAAATCACTTGAAATGAAAGAAATTCATCAATCTTAAATGTGTAGAAATTTCAATTTTTACACAACTAACATTTCTTTAAAGAAAAGTCGAAAAACTATACGTGAAAAAAGTTTCCGCAAAAATTTCTCAGAAATTTCTCCAATACATATATATACATATATATTGAAGATAATGAAGACGTCCAATAAAAAATATATTGTTCAGTAGAGAGACAAACGCTATCTTATTCTATATAATTTAGACATGTATATATTTCAGACATTCTTAAAATAAAGATCACGTTTTGTAAAAACAAAACACACCTATTTTTTAAGTCACTCGAGTTGATAAATTCTCTTGTCTTGTATTCTTATTTGAAGATGAGCAATGTGAAGGAGAAAGACAACACCCTATATATTATGTAATATGAAAATTTTATTTCGTCGACGATGACATGATATAAATGTATGTCAGACGAGAAAAAAAATCATCAAATCAATTAAAACAGAAGTGAAATGATTGATAAAAAATCAATCAAAATTTTGAACATCGGTCAATTAATCTCAGCGTATATAAAAACATGCATACATCATTATGAAATCATACACTCGAGTTGTATTATTATAATGCATTACAATGTATTTATATACCAGGGTTCATTATTATTATTATGATATTATTTACAATGATAATAATATTATTAAATTCTATATGAGGTAAATAGTAAATTCATTATATATTTAATAAAACTTTTTTTTTCTTTTTTTTTTAGATGAGTTTCAATACTATACAATATTGAGAAGTAGGAAAAAAAATATTTTTTTACATATTCAGTTGAGTTGAGTTGAGATAAGTTATTTTGAAAAAAAATAAATACTATCTGTTATTATGAGGATGAGTATGAGTACTTTTGAGATGAGATGAGTTGAGTTATGAATGTTATTAATGTGGGTCAGAGAACTACGTTGTCTGATTCAATAGGGACAGGAACTTTCGTGCCATAGCAAAGCAGTGTAGTGCTAGGGAAGGTCTCTATGTGTCGTTGGTCCCTACCGTTCATACGGCATACCTTCGGCCGTTGCCCTACCAGTCCGGCGTGGTCCGCCTGTGGTACCTATGGCATTGACAAGGGATCTCTCTCTTGTCGCGCGCGCGCGGGTAAGCCAAAATGAGCCGAGAACAACCAGAAGAAAAAAAAAGAATAGCAATTTAAACCAATTTATTGAGCAATGAAGGAAAAAAACAAATTACATTTTCTTTAGAATTTCTTCAAATGTTTCTTTATATTCCAAAAGATGTCGATGATTCGAAGGTAATTTTTCTTGAGCTATATCTATCGCTTGTTGAACATTTTCTATTGCCATATTATATTGTCGAGTAGATAAATATAATTTTGCCATATTATGAAAAACTACAGCTAAATTAGGATGACTTTTTGGTAATTTCTTCTGACGTATTTCTAATCCTTTTTGATAATATGTCAATGCTGTTGAATAACCTTTCATTTCACGATAAGTTTCACCTAAATTTATATATGTCGTTGCACATTCCAGAGGATTACATTGAACATTTTCTTGAATATTTAATGCTTTTTGATGAAATGCAAGTGCCTTTTCATAATTACCCATTAATCGATGAACATCACCAATATTACTGTATGTTAAAGCTAGATATGGATGATTATCACGTAAGGCTTTTTTCCATATTGCGAGACACTTTTCGAAATTATCAAGTGCTTTTGGGTAATCTTTCATACTGCGATAAATTTTTCCGAACCAGTTGTATGGAAAAGCCAGATGACGATGATTCGGAGGCAGAGCATTTTCGAAGATTTGATGTGTTTTTTTGAAATATTGAAGTGCTTTCGAGTAGTCACCCATGTGGTAATACACTGCACCGATGTTGTTGTAGGAAGTAGCCAAATCGGGATGATTTGGAGGCAGAGCTTTTTCTCTTATTTTAAGTGCTTTTTCGTAAAATTCAAGTGCTTCCGAGTAGTCATCCATGTTGTTATACACGAGACCGATGTTGTTGTAGGAAGTAGCCAAATCGGGATGATTTGGAGGCAGAGCTTTTTCTCTTATTTTAAGTGCTTTTTCGTGAAATTCAAGTGCTTTCGAGTAGTCATCCATGTTGTCATACACCAAACCGATGTTGCTGTAGGAAGTAGCCAAATCGGGATGATTTGGAGGCAGAGCTTTTTCTCTTATTTTAAGTGCTTTTTCGTAAAATTCAAGTGCTTTTGAGTAGTCACCCATGTTGTCATACACCAAACCGATGTTGTTGTAGGAAGTAGCCAAATCGGGATGATTCGAAGGCAGCGCTTTTTCGAAAATTTTATTTGATTTTTCGTAAAATTCAAGTGCTTTCGAGTAGTCACCCATGTTGTCATACACCGAAGCGATGTTATTGTAGGAAGTAGCCAAATCGGGATGATTCGAAGGCAGAGTTTTTTCTTCTATTTTAAGTGCTTTTTCGTAAAATTCAAGTGCATTCGAGTAGTCACCCATGTTGTTATACACTAGACCGATGTTGTTGTAGGAAGTAGCCAAATCGGGATGATTTGGAGGCAGAGCATTTTCTCTTATTTTAAGTGCTTTTTCGTAAAATTCAAGTGCTTTCGAGTAGTCACCCATGTGGTAATACACTGCACCGATGTTGTTGTAGGAAGTAGCCAAATCGGGATGATTTGGAGGCAGAGCTTTTTCTCTTATTTTAAGTGCTTTTTCGTAAAATTCAAGTGCTTTCGAGTAGTCACCCATGTTGTCATACACTGCACCGATGTTGTTGTAGGAAGTAGCCAAATTGGGATGATTCAGAGGAAGAGTTTTTTCTTTTATCTTATGTGATTTTTCATAAAAGTCGATGGCTGCATTATATTGTCCTTGGTTATCTTTCATGAGCCCAAGTTGGTTATAACAATACGCTTGATTATTGACATCATCGGGTGCTTGTTCGAGTAACATCGTAAAAACTTGTTCTGCTTTATTATTCTCCCCCATTTTCCATAATAATAAGCCCATTCGTTGCCAACCAGTACCAGTGATCTCCGTCCGTATTTGGTTTGTAAGTGCACTCAACTCTTCATTGACATCGTCACTAGTAAGTGTAAGTTTGACTTGCCATATCTTCATTTCTTCCTGTTGGATTTCTTTGATTTGTCGAATCCGAAATACGGTGTGCGTTGAAAAGAGAATTTCTAGTTCGTTTGGAAATTTGCTGAATTTAGCGATGCGAGCATATGGAACCGATTTTATTGATGGATCAATTGTTATGATAAAGAGTACACCAATTTTTGTGTTGTCACTTCGAAGTTTTCTGCGAATGAAATCAGCGGCAACATATCTTTCTTCACTTGTTGATAAGAAGTTATTATAAGACATGAGTTTGTTTGGTTGGATTTTGATTTCGAAGTCTTGTTGTGTCATAGTTTGACCACGGTAAACTATACTTGGAAATGGTTTATCCTTGTCATTCAATTGTTCGTCGTGAAGTTGTTGGATATTTTGATGAAGATCACGCATGAAGAAACCTGTTTTGAGTAAAGTAGTAACGTCTAGATTACCTAGTGCTTTGTTGAGCATTTTGTATGTGAAACATTCAGCAGTATACCATTGAACAGGATTGTTGTCGATATTGCCGTAATATTCTTGGGCGAATTTGTTGATGAGTTCTAATTCTTTTTTGTTATTAGCATACACCTTTTGTTGACAAGCATAATCAGCAAGTTCTGGAATTGTTTTCTTTTCGTCAAAATCAATTTCAAGTACAATTTCTTTGAAAAATGTTGTATACATAAATGATGATTCTAATTCACCAGTAATGCCAACAGTATCATCATCGCATTCTCGAGCTGATTGCTGAACGGAAGCGCAAATCGAGTGGATTTCCGTGAATACACCTCTTACTTTCGGCCACTCTTCCGTTTTCCATTGTTCGTATTTTGATTTTTTGCGACAAAATATATAGATTGCATAAATTTGAGACATGCGGTGAACACGTGGTACGACATTTTCGGTAAGAGCCCCAGATACAATAAGAAAAGCTTTTTGATTTTTGAAACTTGAAATATAGTTAAAACATTCATCGGCATTACGAAATTTCTCAATGGTATCGACGGTTAGTTGCAATTGCTTAATTGAATTTCGAAAATCTTCGTTTGACTCGTCTAGATTACTATCGAGCCAAAGTAGAAAATAATTTTGTACAAGATCTTTGGCTTGTACACGTTGCTGACCTTTTTCTCCGTTCGTGATAGAGACTTGAGAACGGTGAGGATGTGTGGGTGAACTTATATTGACAGGAGTAGTGGAATTTACGACAGATTTGTCTGTTGCCACTGATGCACCACAACCCATGTTATACGCAGTAGAATAAAATGAATGAATAAAAGTTCTTATGTATTAAAAAAATGAATATGTACTTTGACGAACGATTTTATTTTCTCAGCTATGATTGAAATATTGTTTTTTTTGGTTGCCAATCAATAAGATTGTTTCTATTGTTTCTAACATCCTCTTGTTTATGTTTCTATGTACAAACCATTTGTTTGATTGCTCAATTGAATTGAATCAATACGGACCCTGTCGAAAGAAAAAAAAGCTACCGTGGGTGTGGGTGTTTTTATTGGCAAAAAACAGGTACATCAGCACCCACACCCGCACTCACACCCACCATACCCACCCCACATCAAAACAAAAATAAAATTTCAAAATCAGATTCATCATGTTCATCGTCGAGTTTATCACCAGATCGTGACTAAATTGTTCTTGATAAATTTATTTTTCATATATCTTATTCTCGCTTTTTTTTCTCTCTTAGCTCTGCATCGTTTGACACCATACTATTTACTGTTTCTTTTGTAATCGAGCATCTTATAACTAAACATTAATATGATCATATTCGAACACACTCCAAGTGTATGCATTAAGATACATCTTAATACCACTGGGTACAGTTCTCGCATATGTGCTGCGTTTATACTGTTCTGTCAATTGGCGAAAATCCACTCAACTTTTGCCAATACTAGCAAAAGTCTACAAGATTCTCACCAAATAATTGGTGAAAATTGAGTAGACTTTTGCCAATTCGTCCCGTGGACATTCACCAATTGATGGAAGTTCAACGAACATTCGTCAATACACCCTCCGGACTTTCGCCAATAACTGGCGAAAGTCTTATTAACAAAGGGCGGAAATCCCTTTATCGTACGTCTGGGTCTTAATAAAGACAAACGGTATACTTTATCATCGGCGTCATAAATGTAAATATTTACTATATGGTAAATAAATGATAGTGAATTAGAAGCAGAACAACTATAGAACGCTAAAAATTCAAATCTGACCGGATCCTGTCAGATCTCTTAATTTTCGTCAGAGGTTTCGATAAGACTTTATCGAATCCACCCATCAAAACTTGTCGGATTCGATAAGATCCTCTCCGGGTCCTATATTCGTCGGATTTTCGATCACTGAATTCCGGACTCAACTCCATAAAATCCGACCATTTCCGACATAATCCGACATTGATTCTGAACGGATCCAACAAGATTCAATGATTGGATTTCTCTGCTTGGGTTCTTATGATTTTCTGTATCACTAGAAAATTTTCGCTGAGATCCTGAAAATTGCTTGATGATCGCGGCTTCTGTATTTTCACCTTCACCCGCGTTTATGAGAGCACGATTTCTTCTGTGTGACTCTCAGCGACTTTCATACTACTTGAATTTGTCAGCTTTCATCTTGACAGATTTCTCAGTTCTACAAAGCTCTTTGGGTTGTTTTATATGGATTGCTCGGTGGTCCTGAGGTTTTTAGTACTACTTTGACAAATTGGTGGAAGGAACGAACCCTTGCACACTAACTTCGAAGCATGACCATGTAACCCAAAGTTTCTCGGTCTGAGTTTCGCTTATAGTCGTTCGGAACGGAGCTGTTTCGTCAACGGTTTAACGAATTGTTCCGTGGTTCAAAGTGATTGGTCCTTGATATTTCACATAACTGTCAGTGGTAAAAGTTACCCTTCTAACGCCGTTAAATCAGTAAGTGAATCGAAGCTTTCTGTTCTCACTTTTACAGATTTCGCCATGATTAGAAGCTTTTCGTCGTTATTGTCACATATCGATCTCTGACAGATCAATTGTGACCTTCATCTGTGCAGATTGGTTTGCGAGCGGAAAATTTTCCAATACTACTCTCACCCACACCCAAAGTTTACCATAGTTTCTGGGTGTGGGTGTGGGTGTGGGTGTGGATGAGTGTGGATGTAGATGTTAGTGTGGCTGGGTGTGGATGTACATCAAAAGATTACTCACGCTCGCACCCATAGTCACGCTGGGTGTGGATGTGGATGTGCATGTGCATGAAGAGATTATTGACGCTCACACCTACAGCCACATTGGGCGTGAGGTGTGCGTGTGACAGTGGTTGTAGATGCGGGATTGGATGTGGGCGTGAGTGTTTTTATTGCATATATACATCCACACTCTCATCCACACCCTCCGGAGAAAAAGAAAGAAGAAAGAAAAAGAAAAAACATACTGTGAGAGTAATGCTCGTAACAATATGGGTGTAGATATCATTCTTTTCCTCACACCAACACCCCGCGCCCACACCCAAAGCCCACACTCTCTAGTCACACCCTATCCACACCCTGTGGGATGTTGGTGAGTTCAAGGCCCACACTCACACCTCGAGCCGCTATGGCTGAATGGTAAAGATGTTCGACTCATATCCACAAGATAGTATGTTCGAGCCTCGGCGTCTTCATACATAGAATGTCCTTGGACAAGTCACTAACGGCTGTGTTGTCTCGGACCACCCATCCGATAGCAAGCTGACTACGTTGTCGACATACACAAAAAGCCTTTATGGCTCGTATGTGGTTAGTCAGTATGTATGGGAAGCTTAAGCGATTAAGCGAGAAGAACTCTGAGTCAGGCCGGCCTTCTGTCCAGAGCTGCAACTAGTAATAGTTACAGGAAAAACATCGAGCTTCTGAAACTATCCTTAAACAGCACCCCATACTTGAAGATAGCCGCAAGGCAGGAGTATTCTTCTTCTTCTCATACCTCACACTCCCACATCCGCACCCACACCCACACATTACACGCATCCACCACTACCCACACCCACACCCTCAGAACGATATTAGTTTAGAATAATAATAAACTTAGGTCGTAGTAATATCTATGTTAGAGGGATGTCGCTAACATACGAAATAGTTTCATCCTGCCCTTCTCTTATATCACAAGTAACGCAGCGCAAACGCTGCTAACCCTCTACTGAAAGGATGAGTTGCACTGAAGATAGAATATTAGAAGTATTAGATATAGAAAATGATTCGTTGGCAGCACGTTAAGGAGCGGAATAAAACAAACCATCATTCTTCAAGAGTTGAAAATGTAGATTCCCATATTCGGTAATCCCTACGGAAATTGCATATTCTAAGCATGTTAAAAATATTCTTTGTGTCCACATGATATCATCAACATTCTTCGTACTCGCTTCGCCCCGCTAAATATTCTTATAGCATTATCTATAGTCTGATCAAAGTGTTAGTATAGCGTTCCAGAGTTTCAAAATGTCTGAAATTTGAAACCAAGCAATTGAAAGTGACAAAAAGTCCTGTGTTAATACCTGAAAATGACAATATGCCGGTAGCAAGATGAGTATCTAGATTCCTGGCTCCATCAAAGCCATTTGTGTTACTTTTATTTCATAAAAAAGCTTGTTAGCGCAGCCCCTTTGTGGTTGAAATGTAGAACTCACATATACTCTCTAGCCTAATTAAACTAATACATAGTACATAAAGTGACACATCTCTCGTAGATTATATGTGCTTGCAGGATAATTGATGTTCAGAGTAATGACTTCTCTAATTGTTGCATTTCGAAAAGAATTTTCATTTTTTAAAATTCTTTTTTTCTTAATTTAACATTCTTGTTATTATAATCATTGAATTAATTGACAAATATGTCTGTTTTACATATTCATGATATCTACAGCAGGTCTCAAGCACTATTATTTATATTAATCAACTCACAAATGGTAATCTTCATTATTTTTCAAGACTATAACTTGATCAATTTTCCAACAAAATCTAGAAAATGTGACGGCTGTTATTCTTCATTGGTATGGTCTGTAATGGAGAGGAGTCTAGCAGGAGTAGGAGCCACAAAAACTCGCTCTAAAACTTACACCTACCATTTCCTTCGAAAAATATGTGAGTTCCACAAAACTGACTCAGTAGTCAATATATTTACTACAGTAGTGTAGTTTTTCTCTCTCGAGCCATTTAAAGTAAACAAATATATCATTTACTTTTTATTTTTTATCTCTCTTATGCTCTTTCTTGAACGAAGCAGCATCGATATGGCTCTTCTCTTAACTCTTACTCACACTCACATTCCATCTAATAGATCTAGATCAGCAACAAAAACCTGTTAGCGTCAATGATGATATACTGCGATTCTAAACCAAGATTAAGATACGCTTTCTGATTTAATTGGCTTAGGACATTTGCCCGGATAGCAGGAGATGCGGGTTTGAATCCCACGAAGGTAATCTTTTTCCTCATTCTCTTCGTTCGTTGCATTTTCAATCGTATGAATCATATATGATGCTTGCAAAACCGTGTCGCTATTCGACTACGCACAGCAGAGTAATGATATGAGCGATTCTATTCCACTACAAACTGGATAACCTATGAAGGTAAAAACTTTATGAGTCGAAAATTTCCGCTTTCGTAATTCCATACCCTGTCTATATATGATCCGAATTCGATTAAAACTGACTGTGCTGTTGTAGGACTAAAACAATTTTATTGTGAGTATCGATGTACGTTAAAGACCCTAAATCACACTGTGTTAGTTATGATTCGCTGAAAGGTACACAAATGAACTCCACAGATGGTCGAAAACTTTGATAGATAGTTATTGATGCCTGTCTAAAATTCTCAGGGATACATCTCTTACTATAGACAAATAAAGGAATACAGAATATGAAGATATTGTAATAGATATGGATATCTGAATACGCAGCATATTGGCTTCATATTTCTGATAAATTACTAGCATTGATTCGAGTACTGTTATTCTGAAATAGAACGATAAAAACAAAAATTCTCGTTACAAGTAAATCATGGAAAGCAAGATTGAAACTTAAACATAGAGTATATTTCAA